CAATCTTTTGAAACAAGGAAACAACATGATTCTTGTTAATAATATAGGACCTAATCACCACATCGTTATCACCAAGTGAACCAACATGCAGCAACAATAGAGACACGACTAATCCATAGACTAACATTATAGAGAACTTGAAAGTGGCCAGTAAGTCTCAAGACAGTGGTGAAGAAGAAGATGAGATTATACCCACCGGTTCCTCTAATTCCTTATTTTAGTTGCAATATTATGCTATTCTACTATTCATCGCAATAAACAAACAATAGAAATGTGGGAAAAAAATATGTAAGTAACACAATACACCACAAAAACCAATGGATGCTTTCTGTTTGTTAGCAGGTATTTGGGTTTACAGAAATTTATAATGCCTCTGCCNTATTCTACTATTCATCGCAATAAACAAACAATAGAAATGTGGGAAAAAAATATGTAACACAATACACCACAAAAACCAATGGATGCTTTCTGTTTGTTAGCAGGTATTGGGGTTTACAGAAATTTATAATGCCTCTGCCAGTGTAGAATTGGGACCATAGAAATGAANTTTGCATTCATATATTTGCAAATTTTGTACATAATCATAAATTATTCCGTTTCTTCGGACAAATTTAGAGTATTACAGGCTGACAGAGTGAAGTGGTTGAAGAACATTATTAGGCATTCCTTGCAGTGGCAGCTACAGAGAAAAAAAAAAACTTCACTGCTATTTATCATATCAACTATCTCATGGAAACAAGAGGTTTCCCTTGCATACAATACTGTTAAACATGCTTTGATATGATGAAGTCAATATCTTCAGCCATCAACAAAGTGTACTTTAGGCTTTGGTATGCCCAATCTTTTGAAACAAGGAAACAACATGATTCTTGTTAATAATATAGGACCTAATCACCACATCGTTATCACCAAGTGAACCAACATGCAGCAACAATAGAGACACGACTAATCCATAGACTAACATTATAGAGAACTTGAAAGTGGCCAGTAAGTCTCAAGACAGTGGTGAAGAAGAAGATGAGATTATACCCACCGGTTCCTCTAATTCCTTATTTTAGTTGCAATATTATGCTATTCTACTATTCATCGCAATAAACAAACAATAGAAATGTGGGAAAAAAATATGTAACACAATACACCACAAAAACCAATGGATGCTTTCTGTTTGTTAGCAGGTATTGGGGTTTACAGAAATTTATAATGCCTCTGCCAGTGTAGAATTGGGACCATAGAAATGAAAGTGTAGGAAATCATGTCCTCTCCAAGCAGCCGAAAATATGAACCCATTATGAAGTAATCTCAACACTATCAACTCTTTTGTTAGGTTAGCTTTGGCAATGCTATTTTCGTGTTTTATTTTTTTTTCCTTGCAAAATGGTGAACCTTTAGGCAATTTATGCCTTTTTGTTGATGTTTCTTCGTTTATTTGTTTTGATATCTCTTAGCCTTGTGATTATGACGAACGAACTATTAGAACTATTTTAAATAATTTTTTTTCATTATATTTTTTNGTTTCTTCGTTTATTTGTTTTGATATCTCTTAGCCTTGTGATTATGACGAACGAACTGTTAGAACTATTTTAAATAATTTTTTTTCATTATATTTTCCTAATTGCTTTAGATGAATTGATTTGACAGTTTTTTATTTTCTTAACGGAGGGTACTTGATTTATAAGCTTTAGTTTTCTATTTTAAGCACACCATTAAGTGAACTGGGCACATGAAAGAATAATTATTTTGTCAAGAAGTAGGATTTGATGGCTTTTGGTTGGAACCAACTCAACAATTCCAATGGCAAAATTTCGAGAAGGATAAGAAAAAATAAAAACGCATTTGTCATACTCTTTTGTTTTATGGGGTTGAACTAATTTGTTGGTTGTCTTAAGGCTCATCATCTATGATGTTTCAACCATCAAGTTGCTAAGAAACTTGGGCTGAATTTTATTGTGCAAATTTTTTTGTGGTTTTATTCCTTTTTTCTTTTAGATTAGTCTATTATGCGGTTTTGCACAATGTGTTTTTGCCTCAAATAAAATTTCACTTTCGGCAAGCCAAAAATCTTTTACAGACGATCTTATTAATCATTTGACAAAACAAAAATGTTTCACAAATAACTTTATTGATCTGCATGATTAATTTCCCTAAAACTAAATTTGTGTTTAGAAACATATAGTCAATTCCCTTTCCCGTGTCAGGATGGAGCAACTTAACTTTATGGATAGGATAGGATAGGTTTCACATTATGGATTCCCATGAAACTACACAACCTACCTTGGCCATCTATCAAACTCTATGTCAAAATACGTTACTCTCTCCATATCATTTATTATTACTTGATTTCTATATTCTAGTGTGCTCAACTTATGGTTTCATGTAATTTATAATATATGGGTTGTGGATTTTATGTAGATTTTAGTTTTATTTCATTTTCATGAGAGTNTCAAAATACGTTACTCTCTCCATATCATTTATTATTACTTGATTTCTATATTCTAGTATGCTCAACTTATGGTTTCATGTAATTTATAATATATGGGTTGTGGATTTTATGTAGATTTTAGTTTTATTTCATTTTCATGAGAGGTTTTGTTAATAACATGTCATTGTCTAATTTAAGTGGCAATGAGTTGTTTAGGCTTNATTTTAGTTTTATTTCATTTTCATGAGAGTTTTTGTTAATAACATGTCATTGTCTAATTTAAGTGGCAATGAGTTGTTTAGGCTTTAAACTTTGGAGGCAGCAAATGGGTTTTCTTAAGTTTATTGTTTTAATATTGTTGGCGGGACAGTGTTGGAGTAAATATAAATAGTTATTTATCAATTCTTGAGTTTACTAAGAGCTTATTTTTAACAAGTCCCCGGGAAGATTTACAATATATTTAAGCCAAAAATAGTTTTTAGCTTAAATATTTGATTGGTGGATTTTATGCAATCTATATAATAAAGTAACTAGATTGTTTGTCTTAAACTTTTCGCAGCTCAGATCATTTTGATCCGATGGTCCTAATTGGATTCATTCTTTTTACAACTCTAAGACTCTCATCTCTCATATTGATCTATCTATCTATCTTATACTCTATCTCTTTTTTTCTCTCTCATACAGTCATACTATTATCTTTTTTTTAACTTCCATGTGTTGTTTTTGTTATTATTTACTCCATGAAACAGATGAAACTANCTCTCTCATACAGTCATACTATTATCTTTTTTTTAACTTCCATGTGTTGTTTTTGTTATTATTTACTCCATGAAACAGATGAAACTATATTGTTTTTCACGGCTTAGATCCTTTTGATCCGATGATCCTAATTAAACTTTCATTTTTTTTACAACTCTAAGACTCACATCTCTCATAACTCTCTCTCTCCCTCTCTTTCTATTATCTTTTTTTTTTTTTGCTTCCCTTGTGTTATTTTTGTTATTATTTACTCTATGAAATATATGAAACTATATGTTATGCAATTATTTATTCCATAAAACTAATTCAAAATTTTTATATATATGACGACATGTATTTTGCCACTTTCGTCTTAATTTGTAAATAACACTTGATGTAAATAAAAAATAGCACATTATCTATAAACACCAAATAATATTCAACACGAAATGAACCTTAGAGTGTAAATTAATATATAATTTTATCAAAAATTAACATTTAATTTTATCCAATTTATATTCAAATTTTTTGAATTAATATCAAATTAATTTTTATTGTTATCAAATTAATATTGACATTCATTTAATCAATTTTTTGGAGTACTAAATTATATCAATTTTTTGGGTACTAAATCAAATTTTATTTGATTTTATTAAATTTTTAATTTGTTTGGTATTAAATTTGAAGAAGGCCAATTGTAAAAATAATAAAATTTTTTGTGATGAAATTATCAATTTTCGTTAGTAACATTGACAGAAGGAAGACAGAGAGGGTCTCCGTGCAATGAATTCAAACCTCAGGGGGTCTGTGTTATTTATAAAATGTCAAGAGATGTCTATGTAATATTGTCAAAACTCAAGGGATGTCCATGATTTTTACCCTATTTTTTAATTAAATATTAATTTATTATCATTTTATCTTAAAATTTTGAATTATTATATTTCTAATAAAAGCAGTTATTGGTTATGAAAATTTGTTGGTAACCAAAAAAAAAATGTGTGTGGGTGTATTTCTGTGTATATTTATATTTGGAGGAATGAACATTAGGTGATTAAATTTATAATTATATTATGTCAATTGGGATTGAATGGTGATAGTAATGATAAATTAATGAGTTTTATAAATGAGTAAGATTTGATTGATTTTACTTATCGATTAAAGATTGTGAAATTAATTATGTTCTGTTTAACATTTTTTTTTTGCTTGATGTATTTATTACATGGAGATAGGGTGGATTGAAAATATGGTGGTTGATTTTTATAATTATGTTGTGTTATTAGATTGAATGATAGTAGAAGTGATAAATTCGTGAGTCTTATAACTAATTAAGATTTATTTATTGCTTAAAGATTATAAATTTCAATGAGTTATGTTAGTTTTTGTTTTATTTTTCCTAGAGGCATTTGTATATATATTGTTGTTTTAGGGAGTTTTTATATATTTTTATGACAGCTCCATTAATATGGAGGATATGGTTGATGTTATATTTCGAGTCATTTTAAAAGAAGAATTGATATGAATATTTTTAGGTCATTCCTTTTGAATTTGGACAATTGTTTAAGATTTTTTTGTTTGTTGTATAATACGTTCAGGTATGGGCAATGACTAATTCACATATATTTCAATTTTATTTTTTTGTTTCTTTTATTTTGAGTTACAATAATAAAAATTTTACTCCGACATCAACAAAAAATTTAACCCCCCCTAATTTGGTTCAAGCATTTGGATACGACATGACTTGTTATTTGTTGCATAGTCATAAAATTTAGAATGTTAACTTAGTTATGAGGAGTCAAAGTTTTCTTGGTATTTGTTGCATACTCATAAAATTTAGAATGTTAATTTAGTTATGAGGAGTCAAAGTTTTCTTGGTACATCTATAAGTTGCCGGATGAGTCTAAGATAGGAAGTCAATTCTTCCATCAGATTGAAAATTGAAACACTCATATAGTCCAATTAACAATATTGATAAAAATTATAACGCAACCTAATTCATGTGCATCAACTAGTAACAGAAAAATGAAATTAAAAAACTGTAATATTACCCGTAAATACTCCTCCTTTTTGTGATAGGACTGCGCACGCACAACATAGTCCTTGTGTTTTTCAAGAAGTCCAAATTTTCTCCTCGAATGCCTGACATAGAACAGAAGCATCAGATGAAACAGGTAGAAACCAGAGTCACATAAAAGGCATTGTAGAATATCATGCACTCACGGTTGAGCTCGTTCCTTGTGATCCCTTCGAGAGACTGCATTTCTTAGAGATGACATTTTTTAGAATCAGCAAAAGCAATCACTGTTCAGTATGCTGCAAAATAAAAAAGTACAAGTGCTTTTAATAAGTCTTAACACAGCATCATGCAAGTTTTACTGCTCATGTAAGTTTCAACGCAGGCAATGGTATCAGCACACTCCCACATCTGACAAAACCCAATCACTGTTATATATGTGAACACACATACATACATGGGGCATATTCAAATTATACCTGTTGTAAAAAAGTGTTAAGTTTTCAATGTATACCTAACTCTATGTGGGAGCTGCAAGGCCAAAGCAAATTGCCTCATTACATAAATATTACATGCTCATGGCGGGTGTGTAATATCAGATGAATCTGACACCTTACGCCATATAATTTAGTGCTATCTGATGTGCACGGCGCATTGAGGCACCTAGGTTCCCGCCTAGGGTTGAGGCAAGGCACTCATGTTAACAAACAAATATTACAACATTGGAATTTATTACAAAACAGGCAAACTCACAACTCATAAGAATTCACAACAAATTAATTAATTTACCAGTCTAAGGAAGCAAGGCTACCAGCCAATTACTCAATTTGTGAATTATTAAGAAATTAAATAAAGCAGCAAAGCGACAAAGTACACGAACTAATTACAAAACCAAGCAACAAGGACAACACAATTTATAATAAGCATAAAAAAAACAAGGATAGCCCCATATGTGCTTAATCAAACAAAAATATCCGGAAAAAAAAAATCAGAAAAGCCCCCAAGTCCAACACCTGTGCCAAATTAAAAAAATAAAAAGCAAATCAGAATAGTCCCCCATGCCAAAGTGTCCAATGTCTAATGCAATCCAGCGTAATCATAAACCGAAAAAAAAAATTCAACATCCTTTAGCCTTTCCAAAGTCCAAAAGTGCAAAACCCTTACCTCACTTCGATTCAAGCTAACGAACCAGATCGATAGACTGAGAGATGACCAAGATAAAGCTAGACCGCTGGAGTAGTAGAACTGGAATCATATAATGATCGATGAGAATTTGAGATGAGAGGCTGAGAGAGAATCTAAGAGTGGAAAGAGAGAGAATCAAACAGTGGAAAGAGAGAGGCTGCGAGTGTGGAGTCCTGTCGAGTGTCGAAGACTTCGAATAGCAGATTAGGGCAAAGGCAAAAGAAAAAAGCCTTAAATTTTTTTGTTTTTGAAAGAAATTTTCTGACCCGGACGATTTGAATAAAACTGTCCAGGTTTTAGGGTTACGCACAAACCCGCCGGATTCAACGAGTCTTCTGCGGGGGTGTTTAAATCACCCTGGGACGGTTGGATTGGATTAGACTTGAATCCCAATCTAATCTAATCGAAATCAATGCATAGTAGTCCAAGTTAAATCATTCAGGGTTCGTTTGGTAAATGTATTATCCTTTGGTAAATGTATTATCCGTATTCATTTTAAAAATGTATGTTTATCGTATATTTTTTATATAATAGACCTGTATTATAGATGTTTTTTAATACTATCAAAAAAGGTGGTATTATAATCCAACTCAAACGTATTATTCTATATATTTACTATTATAATCCTCCAAGTGATAAATTCAAGTTATCATCAATGTAACAAACATTGATTAAGAGTATTTTTGTTTATTTAACATTAATACGATAAAATAATTCTCTAACCAAACAACTGATTGAATTAAATAACTATTATTCAATGCTTATATTGTGTATTACCAAACACTAGATAAAATTACGTGTTATTCTAATATCATATTAAATTTTGTCTTTAATCTATCTGTATTGTATTAGACTGTATTATTTTATCTAATATGTCCAATTTTAATACGACAACCAAACGAGCCCTCATAATATTATCCCACCCTATCTCAAAGAACAATTGTTTTGTGGACCTCTTTTATATGTGTAGATGAAAAATAATGAAACCACCATTGCACCCTTTGTAAAAAAAATCAATTCAATCCTATATCAATTTTGGATCGATATGGTGTCAAAAATTAATTAGAATGATTAGGTACTTCTTTTTGAAAAAAATTCTGATTTTTCATAAATTGAGTTTTTTTAATAACACTAAGCTGAAATATATATATTTTTTAATTTTTTTAATATTTTCAACAATACAAAATTCTAGCTAATATTCGGATAAAATCAATCCACGGATTTGGTTTTTGTGTTTATTGTGGGGTAGAGAGACAGATAGAACATGTCATAGATGAACTTGATCTCCAAACTTGATATTTGCATGTCTACATCTAAAAAATTAGATAACAAGTAACTTTAACCGGAGATGGAGATGGAGACTTTTCATTTTGATCAACCAAATCAAGGAATATTGTTAACAAAGAAATATCAAATAATGGTACACAGACAGGCACTCACATGTGCAAATGCACACTATATATGTATGTATAAACAGAGAGAGAGAGTGGGGGCAGAGGTGATGACGGACACATAAATCAGGAGTTTAGTCGGCTATGTTGCCATTACAATCATGGGCAAAAACCAGAAACCGGCTTTCCTCAAAAAATCGTGGTGCAGAAAATCACTAACCATTAGAATTTAGGGTTTCCCCAAAATTTTCCCTTAAATCTATGGACAGAGAGGGAGAGGGAGGGGAGGAGAAAAAGAGGAACATTGTGAAGGAAGAGAGAGAAAGGGAAAAAGAGGAACACCGTCAAATGAGAGAGATAGTGGGAAACAGACCTAGTTTGGTCTGGTTGTTGGAGGCTGCTTGCTAATCGTCGTAAGTAGTAGCCAAAGATAGAAGATATAGAGATGCATAGACGGTAGATGGTTGTTGGAGAAAGAGAGAGAGTAGGCGTCGGCAAGATAGAGAGAGAGAGAGAGAGAAAACCTGGGTTTTGTGCCCAGCTGTTGGAGGCGGTGAGATCTATTTACTGTTTAAGGGCACAAGGGTAAAATCACTATCAATCCTTTTGGGGGTGCTTGGATCACCGGATTTGAGGGGATTAGAGGAGGATTGGATTGAAATTGTGAAGGAGGCTATGTATCCTTACTGGGGGAGTCTGGTATAGTGGATAAGCCCGAATTACCCCCACAAGGATCGGATAAAAATGAGGTGGGGTCCATTTATCCTTGATTTGGCAAGGAAAAGTGAGGTTGGACATTCGTAGTTATTGAAAACGATTTGGACTCTTTTATCCCTTTTGAATAGGACACACAAATCCCACCAAAAGTTTGGGATTATCTTTTTACCAACAGGATTAATGGCCAAATTTATCATTACACCCCTCTCCACCTAAAAGTGGTGTTTTGTTTATATTCACTTTCCCCTTTCCAATGGTCCCCCCCCTCTTACCCGAGAACGGCGACTCTCCTCATTTGGCAAGGAAGGTATGTTTCCTTTCTCTATCTATGTCTCTCTCTCTATATCTCTCGCCCTCTCTCTCTGTATATATATTACAATCAATAAAATGTTTTATACACCCATTAAATACACACCCCCATATGTAATATACCAAATTCAGCTGTGTATAAAGACAAACAAGACATAAATCATACAATGAAGGAATACCCAACAAGCATTTTGGTGAGTAATCAAAAGGGCAATTACGAATTTAAGAGTTAAATCAATACATATAAGCATAGACATGGTGGCCGACTTGGTGATGGAAGAATGCTTGCGTGGTTTGAGACTACAAATGATAAGTCATGGGGAGATGGGTTCCACTAAGATATGTCAATCAACCATCGCTAGACACCCATCTCTAGTTCTATTTTCACACCAAAATTTCTCACGTATGATTTGAACGGTATCATTTTGATTTTAGTTGTTCTTGTTGCAGAAAGCTTTGAATATTGAGTGTGAGGGTTAAATTTGGGTAAAATAACCATAAAAATGTTTGTGCAACTATATACTCAAACTCATCCTGTATTTTTGTACTTTTCTTTTAAGTTGTGTCATCTCCTACCTCTTTACTCACTAAATTGGATATTATATTTATACAAGTAGAACATGATAACATTGTATTAAATTTCAAGAATTGTCTATTATTGTTTAGTTTCAAGACATAAAATTCTCAATAGTTTTCTTATAATGTGATTAAGAAATTGATCTTTCGAAATAGCATAAATTGGTCTTTTGGGTTAGTACATTTTACTAGTTGCATTAATTCGTGTGACACTAACTTACGAGCCAACAATCTTAAAAAAAAAAAAAAAAGAATGACGGACAACTATACAATTGTTTCTAAAGAATAAGAGAAAGGATATTAAATAATAAAGGTGTTATCTTCGGTTAATATATGAGTTAGGGCGTTTTACATTTGGTTTATTATTTAGTCTAAAAATAAATATTTATTTTAGTAAATTAGGGGTCAATGTACCACTAACTTACCAAAAACAAAATGGACTAAGGTCATTATACAAATTTTCAAAGACTTAAGAGGGGGCAATGTGATAAACCAAACATAATTTGTTTTTTTTTTTGATACAGTAAATATGTAGTATTTCTTCAAAATTGAGTGGGGGTAACTGTCCCCACAATGACCCAAGTAGCTCCACCCCTGGGCGTGGATGTGTGAGTCCAAAGTTTAGTTACTTAGTTGGACATAGTTCGTATTTTACATGAACCTATTCATGTTTTTGTTTGATGTATGTTATTAAGTGTTGATGTATTAACCCATATGTTACTTATTTAAACAATGTATCTGATCACCTTGTGGACGAGTAAAGCCACGATTGAGGTATGTTTATTTATGTTTGACAAAGACCCCCATGTTATATAATTGGACATTGTTGTCTACTTATGTTTTATGTTTGTTTATTCCTGAGGTTGCATACTTTGACTAAATGATTTTCATAACATAATTTAGAATTTGAAAGTTATCATATACATTGGATGCATATGTGTGTTTTTACTTGTATACCACATTGAGGATGTAAGTTGTTATAACAAAGATATTGGATGCATTTTTTTGATGAATTAGGAATACATGGACAACAATATGGATGAATTATGTTTGTTACTTACACTTATGCATAGGANAAGATATT